GTTTAGTCCACAATAAGTTAAGCTCCATCGTACGTGTGTGTGTGGATGCATGTTTCCTGAGGTCATGATGAATAAAAATTTCTTATTGTGTGTAACAAACAAAAGAGTTTTCCTCAGTGGTTTAGACCATGGGTTTTGATTTCTTCATCTAATTAATGAAAGTCATTCATTTTATACATATACATATATAGACAGTCATATTCATATACACCATTCATATACACATACATATATGTATAATGGGCACTACAGTGTTTCAGGCACAGTGGTATATGACCTATCCAGGGACATCAAGGCCCTGTCCTCCTCGAGCCTCAGCTAGCAGGGAAGCCAGTCATAAAATAATTACATAACTGTTTAACTACCATTGTATGAAGAATGCGTATAACACCAGGTTCCTAGGTTCAGAGCCAGCCTTCCTAAGGAAGTGACAGAGAAGGGGGCAGAGAGGGATGGAGGCAAAGAATGGGGCTGGGGGCGGGGTGGAGGTAGCATTCCAGGCAGAAGGCCCAGGAAGTGTGAGAAGAACCTGAAGGTGGAAGAGTGTCAGCTCTACCTCAGCAGTTTCTATGAGGACCTCGTGAGATGACTGTGGGAACACTTTGTAAACTGTGGAGTGTTATTCAAATGTGGTGGCTCATTATTTAAAACAGTGATTATAACCATGCCTTAAAGACGAGCTGAGGGACTTCCCTGGTGGTCCAGTGGTTAAGAGTCCACCTGCCAATGTAGGGGAGGTGGGTTCGATCCCTGGTTGCGGAACTAAGATCCCACATGCCATGAGGCAACTAAGCCCTCGTGCTGCTTGAAAGATCCCGCCAGCTGCAACTAAGACCCGACACAGCCTGAATAAATTAATTAAAAATACACACACACACACACATATATATATATATGAGTTTAGTTTCAGCAGGCGGCCACCAGGTCCAGGCTCACCCTGAGCTGGTATGGCAGCTCCATGATGCTGAGCAGGCCTCTGGGCCCCCACTACTGAGAGCTGACCCAAAACTGGATTCCCACAGCAGGCACCAAGGGGCCTATGGGGGTCACTTACAGGGGCTGCTTCTGGACTGGGTGCCCTACTTCAATGGCAAGTTTAAGAAAAACGATGAATGAAAATGACCCCTCCTCTGGTATCTGGTGGTGCTGCCTCCTTCCATCTGAGTCTCAAACAGCCCAGTCTTTCAGGATGGCCCTCAAGGAAATACACAGCACGACTTAGACTTTCTGTGTGAAAATAGCTTTGATGTGTGAACGCACACAGCATTAAACCTTGCTCTGAAGCCTGCCCACTGGGACAAGCACATGCTGGGGCTTGGTTACCCTGACTGCAGTCCCAGGGGCTTCGGTCACCGGGGAATCCTTTCAACTCCAAATTTAGGTGCTATCCCAGTAACTGGCAGAAATGGCTTGGTTTAAAATGTTTAATATATAATGCCTGCACAATGTTTTTATCTCTCACTGCCTTAGCAAGTTACTCCATGACTTAGTGGCTTAAGACAACAAACATTCATTATCTCAGAGTAAATATATAAATATATATATATAGATATTTATATATAAATATATTTTATATATTTATATATAAATTATATATATCTATATCTATATATAGATATAGATATAGATATAGATATAGAGAGAGCTTAGTTTTCTTTATTAATCCATTCAGTGAGTTGGTGTCAGATATGGTTCTAGATTCTGGGGTTACAGCAGTAAATAAGACGGGACCGCTGCCGTGGAAAGGGTCCCTTTCAGAGACAGACGGACACTAAACACAGCAGTAATTTCAGAGAGCCATCAAGTGGGGCAGAGTCACAGAGAAGTGGAGGTAGAGAAGGTGCTTTAGGTGGGAAAGCAGGGCTCTCTGAGGGGCTAACAACCAGACCTGAATAAAATGAGATCTGCCGCATTCTGACAATGTGACCTTGGCAACATCACCTAACATTTCAGGACTCGGTTTCCTCATCTGTTAATAAGGATACCTGTACCCATCTCTTGGGATTCCCCTGAGGATTATCTTGCCTGAGATAAGGAACTCAAGGCCTCCAGTACAAAGCTGAGCTGGCATTAAGAGGCACTTCATTGCTAAATAATTGAGTGTCTACTGATCTGTTGTTCAAGATATTAGGAATATGTTTAGAAAGATAGAATGACAAGGAGGAGAAAGTAGGTCTCCTATTTTCAGACCAGGCTGGACAAGTCCCTCAAAAGGAGTTATCCATGATCTTCTACTCTGTGCCAGCTGGGTCCTCTGAGAAGCAGACCCCAGGTGAGGTGTGGGAGCCGTTTGGGATGGGGTGGGGGGCGGTGGTGTCTGTGAAAGGGAGAAGAGAGAAGAGCAGCAGTGGGCAGGAAAAGGCACTAGAGGAAAGACCACTGGTCAGAGGAGCCCTCCACTGAGTGGAAGTGGCCAGGCCTCACACCGCCGTTACCCTCAGTCACTAGCCAGGGCTGTGAAGAGTGCGGACTCGGCTCCAATAGACAGCCATGGCAAGTCCCTCCTTGAAGGGAGGTCTGGGTGGTGCACCTCCACAACTGCCACAGACTCCCAGTCTCACACCAAACACTTTTTGCTATCAAAGGATCAGTGCTTCCTTGGGAGAGGAAAGTGAGATTTATTCTGACTCAGGAAAGGTTGCACAAAAGGAAAGCAATCCAAGGGCCAGAAAACCCTAGGCCTGATTTTATGATATTCTGCATCTGTGAGGATGCCTGTAACCACCAGTTTCAGAAAACTCAACTCAAAATGGCTTGAACAATAAAGAAGATTTATAACATCATACAGTAAGCCTGGAGGAAAGAGGGTCCCAGGGTTGTTTAGTTTAGAATTAAATGATGTCATCGAGTCACCATCTTGGATGAAGCAGTTTTTAATTCTGACATCCTCAGTGTGTCACAGTTGTCTCCATTAGCACCGTTCATGATTCCAAGATTGTTGCTATAGTTCTAGGCATCTCAGGTGGACAGGATAAGAAGATGACAGAAGAAGCAGAAGACAGGCCCTATCTTCCCATGTGTCTTTTTTTAATCAAGAAATTCATGTCAGAATTACCCCCAGTGGACTTATCCTCATATCCCATTGGCTAGAATCTCATCTCCACATGTGCTCATATCACCAGTAACACCAATGGGATTGCCATGACTTGCAGACCTGGTGGGCCTACAGGCCTGAGATAATGAAGTTAAGAAAGTTCTTTATGGCAAAAAAACACTACAATATTGTAAAGTAATTAGCCTCCAACTAATAAAAATAAATGAAAAAATAAATAAAAAGAAAGTTCTTTTACTTTCATTTTTAATATGTGGCTATATATATGTATCATACACATATATACATCAGTTATGTTGAAATATAATCCTCATACTAATAGATAACCTTAAATGAAAAAAAATTGATCATTAACTTTTTTAAAATTGAAATACACATAACATAAAATTTATCATCTTAACCACTTTCAAATATACAGTTCAAAGGCATCAAGTGCATTCACATCAATGTGATACCATCACCACCATCCATCTACAGAACTCTTTTCATTTTACAAAACTAAAACTCTGCACCTATTTTTTGAGAGGGACCAACACAGCTCCCCACTCTCCACAGCACCCACTTTGACGGACTCCACCACAACCAAGGGCAGCTGCTGGCCCAGGCGAGGGCCCTTCTTCAGGCACTTACCAGAGCCTTTCCTGATGGGCCTCCAGCCTCCTCAGCTGAACTCACCTCTGCATGGTGGGCTGTGGGACACTCATGCTGCTGGCACTGCAGGTCAACCCCACAGGATATTGACTCTGGGCCTGCCATGCCCAGCTTCAAGCTGCTCATCCTGGTTTGCCCCCCTGGCTCCCTCCCTCTGTACCTGTTCATCAATAACTACCCTCAACCCCTAGCAATAATCAGTCTACTGTCTGTCCTTCTGAATCTGACTACTCTAGATACCTCATAGAAGTGGAATCATACAGTATTTATCCTTTTGGATCTGGTTATTTCACTTAGCATGTCTTCAGGTTCATGCATCTTGTAGCATATATCAGAGTTTCATTCCTTTAAAGGCTGGATGATATTCCACTGTATTTATTTAACCATCTATTCATCAAAGGCCTGATTCAAAGAGCCAGCTCATTAGAAAAGACCCTGATTCTGGAAAAGATTGAGGGCAGGAGGAGAAGGGAGCGACAGAAGATGAGATGATTGGATGACATCACCAAGTCAATAGACATAAGTTTGAGCAAACTCCAGGAGATAGTGAAGGGCAGGGAAGCTTGGCGTGTTGCAGTCCATGGAGTCGCAAAGAGTCAGACATGACTTAGCGGATGAATAAGCATTCACTAAAGGACACAGGTTGATTCCACCTTTTAGCTATTGCAAATAATGCTGCTACAAACATGGGTATATAAATACCTCTTCAGGACCCTATTTTCAATTCTTTTGGGTATATGCCCAAAAGTGGAAATGCTGGATTAAATGCTGTCTCTTTTTTAAGGAGCCACTACACTATTTTCCATAGTAGTTGCATCATTTTTTTTCACCATTTATTTTTATTAGTTGGAGGCTAATTACTTTACAATATTGTAGTGGTTTTTGCCATACATTTTTTTTTTCTTTTTATCCCTTTGCTTTATTTTTGTTTTGTTTTGTTTTGTTTTTTTCCATTTATTTTTATTAGTTGGAGGCTAATTACTTTACAATATTGTAGTGGGTTTTGCCATACATTGACATGAATCAGCCATGGACTTACATGTGTTCCCCATCCTGAACCCCCCTCCCACCACCCTCCCCATCCCATCCCTCTGGGTCATCCCAGTACACCAGCCCCGAGCACTTGTCTCATGCATCCAACCTGGACTGGCGATCTGTTTCACACTTGATAATATACATGTTTCAATGCTATTCTCTCAGATCATCCCACCCTTGCCTTCTCCCATAGAGTCCAAAAGTCTGTTCTAAACATGTGTCTCTTTTTCTGTCTTGCATATCGGGTTATCATTACCATCTTTCCAAATTCCATATATAGCTGCATCATTTTTTAAAAAATAATTTTATTGGCTAAACTATTTCAAGTAACAGATATCGTTTTTTGTGTGTGTGCCGAGTCTTACTTGTGACACATAGGACCTTTAGTTGCAGCATATGGGGTATCGTTCCCTGACCAAGGGTCAAAACTGGACCCCCTACAATAGGAACATGGAGTCTTAACGACTGGATCACCAGGAAGTCCCAGGGGCTGTACCATTTTAAATTCTCGCTTAACAGTGTGCAAGTGTTCCAGCTGCTCCACATACAGACCAATACTTGTTATTTTCTGAGTTCTATCCATCTTAATGGGTTTGAGATAAGATTCCGATCATGGCTTTGATTTGCTTTTCACTAATTACTAGTGATGTTGAATATCTTTCATGTTCCTGTTAGCCATTTGTTTATCTTCTTTAGAGAAAGTTAAACCCTTTTGCCCAGTTTTTAACTGGGTTGTTTGTTTTCCTGTTGTTGACTTGTAGAAGTTATATTTTTTGGATATTAACTTCTTGTCAGATTTATGATATGCAAATATTTACCAATATGTGATTTTTTTTTTTTAAGGTTAAAAGCTCATACCATGAAACCTGCCTCTTAGATTCAAATCCCAGTTGTGCCACTTACAGATCTACGGGTAGAGGAAGGGTGAACAATCAAAAAATCTGGGGTCTGCCAACAAAGAGAAAGGGCAATGACAGTTAAGTAGGGAAACAGCAGAGTCCCTTACACAGCACTAGATGTCAAAGGCAGGTAGGTATATATGTGGCTTATGTCATTTTTCAAACTGAGAAGCATAAATGTCAAGTCATAATAGAAGATAATGTTTCACTGAGTCTCACTATGCCAGGTCCTTTATATGCATAATCTCATTTCATTTATTCATTCAACAAGTATTTAAGGAGCCGCTTCTGGTGGCAGGGTCTGGGGAAGGGGCGGCAGGTGCCATGTTGGACTGCAAAGGTGGCATGAAGAAGCCCCTGAAGCAGCCCAAGAAGCCAGCCAAGGAGATGGACGAAGATAAGGCATTCAAGCAGAAGCAGAAGGAGGAGCAGAAGAAACTTGAGGAGCTAAAAGCAAAGGCCGCGGGGAAAGGCCCCCTGGCCACCGGTGGAATTAAGAAATCTGGCAAAAAGTAAGCTGTTTCTTGTGCCTGAGGCAATGATGACCCTTAGTTCCATTCCTGTTTAAACACCTGGATTCCCTGCCGTAATATCTGTTGCTGCCTATAGCTAGAATGAAGTGTTGTCTTGGAACCTATTGTGCATTTAAGAATAAACTTTTGTAAAAAAAAAAAAAACAAAAAAACAAGTATTTAAGGAAAACCTAATATGAACCTGTGACTGATGAGCTAAAAATAAAATAAAGTAAGAAATCAGACATTGTGCCTGCCCTCAATGAGTTAAGACTTTGGTCAAAGAAAAAACTACAACAATTGCTAAGTGTTATAAAGATTAGGTCCATGGTCCTATGGAAACAGACTTGGTCAAGCAGATCAGGGAAGAAGTAGGTACAATTATTATCCCCATAGGAATGGAAGCTCTGTGAGTGCAGGGTCCTTGTCTGTCTTATTCACTAATACATCTCTGTTGCCTAGGACAATGCCTGACACAAAATAGCTCAAACAAAATGCCAGACACAAAATGCCTGACACAAAATGAAGGAGTGTACCTTCATTTTATAGATGATGAACTCAAATCTCAGAAAGGGTAAGTAATTTAACCAAGGTCACAGTCCTAGATGATGCCAGGTAGTTAGTGCTGCTACTTGAGCTTCTAACCTTTTAAAAAGTCACACATTTTTAAAAAGCAGAAAACAAAAACCCTGATTTGAAAAGAAATTATTTGAAATAGCAGCATTATTTACATTAGCCAAGACGTGGAAACAACCTAAGTGTATATCATCAGGTAAATAGAGGTGTGATATATATTAAAATGGACTATTACTTGGTCATAAAAATTTTAATTTTGCCATTTGCAATGATATGGATGGACCTGGAGAGTATTAGGGTATTATGCTTAGTGAAATAAATCAGACAAAGATAAATGCTATATGTTATCACTTAAATGTGGACTCTAAAAAATAAGACAAATGGATGAATATAACAAAATAGAAATAGACTTACAGATATAGAGAACAAACTAATTATACCAGTGGAGTGAGGGAAGTAGGGAAGAACAAGATAGGAGTAGGGGATTAAGAGGCACCAACTACTATGTATAAAATAAATTAGCTACAAGGATATATCATACAGCACAAGGAATATAGCCAATATTTTATAATAACTTTAAATGGAGTATAATCTACAAAAATACTGAGTCACTATATTGAACATCTGAAACTGTAGTAATATAATATGGTAAATCAACTATACTTCAATTTTTTTTTCAAGTAAAAGGATTTCCTTAATTTCATCATCCCAGGCCTATGGAAATAAGTATTCTCTTCTTTGGCCTGCTGAAGCATTTATTTCAACTTTGTACTGTAGTGAATTTCACACATAACTATCCAGGTACCAGCTTCCCAGATCCAAGCATCCTCCTCCTCCCAGAAAAATAGTAAACTGTGAGCTGTTTAAGAGACAATATCTGAACATATTGCACAGTGAGGTGCTCAGGAATGCAGGCTCAGAGTTCAAACAGACCTGATGAGGAAGCCTGATTCTGCCGCTTACTGATTATATGACCTTAGGTTCTTTACTTAACCTTTGTAAGCTTCTGTTTATCTGTAAAATGGGGATAATAATACAACCCTCACCTCACAAAGCTGTTGGAAGAACTGAGACAATTCCTACAAAGTACTTCAGGATAGGAACTGGCACAAAGTAACAATGCAATAAAAATTTGCAGATACCCTAAACTGCAAAAAATACCAACATCAACACCCATCCCACCCCCAACTGGAATTATATGGTGTTTTTTCTAGGGTAGGGATGGGCTGGCTTCTGCTACTTTAATTTTCCATCACTCAAAATGTCCTACTGGCAGCATTGCCCTGAGTCACAATCTCTTGTGGAAGGAAAGGATTGACCAGTAAGTGGGTGCCCCGAGAAGTTTCCAGAATCAACAAGTTACTTTTCCCTCCCCAATTCTGAGGGTGTCACACTGCTTCTGCTCAGAACTTGCCAATCCTCCACCTCTTCCTTTCTTTTTTTCCCATCCCTCCCTCCCACTTCAAACCCAGGGGTGGGGGGAAATGAAGAAAAGCACACCAACCAAGAAGACTTTTCACTTCATTGTGTTTTCCAGCTAGACCTGAACAGACATAGATCAATTCAGCCTGCTCTCACCCTCCCTCCTCTCTTCTCTCATGTCCTCTTTGTGTTCCCCCCACCCCCAGACTATGTCTTCAGGCTTAGGAAAGAGCAGTTATTCTCAGTAGCATGAGGGTACAAGAAGCTTCAGTTGCCAGTAGCAAGCACAACATGATTGTAACAGTTTCCCCTGGCCTGTGGTGCTTAAAAGGCCAAGAAGCAATGGAACCCATTTGGGATCCTCTGAGAAACTCCTCAGCTCGACCCCTTCTGTCCCAACTCAGGCTCAGCTACAATCAGACATGCAGAAATCTCAATCCCCCACTTCCTCTGGCCAAGAACCTTCTGAAGGCCACCTCCATCTCCAGACAAGGGGTTTTCATCCCAAGTTTGAGGAAATCAGGCCAGTTGGACCTGGAATCAATGAAGAAGAAGAAGGAATACATCTTTTCCATTTCAAAGCAGCCTAGTGGAACTTTTATTTCCTAACAGGGTGACTCCAAACTGGCAGGACTTTCAAAGCTACAAATTTCCATGTTCCCAGCCCTTGCTAAAGGAAAATTTCCTGGTTAACTTGGCCTGTGTGGAGGTTTGGGGTGTGCAAGTGAGAAATATTTAACAAATAGTTAAACCTGAGCTATAAATCAAATTAGTCTAAACAAGATTCTCCCCCATCCCCATGCTGTGCTAGTTACCCTCCTTAATTCCTACCCAGACATATGTTCAAAAATAACTACTATTTATCAACTACCCTGTAAGTACGAGGAAATAAACTAAGTGTTTTACTTACTTATATTGACTTATTTTGTCTTCACAACTATGCGAGATAGGAATTTTATTTATTGTTTCCTCTGTGAAGAACAGTTTAAGTAATTTCCCCAAACTCAATGGAGTTAATAAGTGGCAGAATTAGAGTTCAAATCTCATCCGCAACACAATACCATGGATAAATCTCAAAATCATCAATGCAGAGTAAAAGAAGCCAGGCCAAAAGAAAAGTATTTACTGTGTGATTCCATGCATATAAAATTACAGAAAATACAAACTAATCTATAGAGTTAGAAAGCACATTAGCAATTGTCTGGGGATGGGGTGGAGGGAAGAATGAATTACAAAGTGGCATAAATAAACTTCGGGAGTGATGGAAATCTTTGTAATCTTGATTGTGGTGATATTTTCACAGGTGTACACATATATCAAAACTGACCAAACTGTACATTTTAAATATGTGCAGGTTAGTGTACTTCAATGAAATGAAGAAAAAATATCGCCAAAAATCTCATTTCTTAAGTCATTTCCATAAATGTATTTACTCTTTGATATAGTTGATATTATAGGACCTAGCCTGACTCTCTTCATACTGTTCAATGAAAAAGTTGGCTTAAAAAAAAAAAAGTTGGCTTAAAACTCAACATTCAGAAAACGAAGATGATGGCATCCAGTCCCATCACTTCATGGCAAATAGATTGGGAAACAATGGAAACAGTGACAGACTATTTTCTTGGGCTCCAAAATCACTGCAAATGGTGACTACAGCCATGAAATTAAAAGACGCTTATTCCTTGGAAGAAAAATTATGACCAACCTAGACAGCATATTAAAAAGTAGAGACACTACTTTGCCAACGAAGGTCTGTCTAGTCAAAGGTATGGTTTTTCCAGTGGTGATGTATGGATGTGAGAGTTGGACTATAAAGAAAGCTGAGCGCTGAAGAATTGATGCTTTTGAACTGTGGTGTTGGAGAAGACTCTTGAGAGTCCCTTGGACTGCAAGGAGATCCAACCAGTCCATCCTAAAGGAAATCAGTCCTGAATAGTCATTGGAAGGACTGATGCTGAAGCTGAAATGCCAATGCTTTGGCCACCTGATGTGAAAAACTGACTCATTTGAAAAGACCCTGATGCTGGGAAAGATTGAAGGCAGGAGAAGGAGACGACAGAGGATGAGATGGCTGGATGACATCACTGACTCGATAGACATGAGTTTGAGTAAGCTCCGGGAATTGGTGATGGACACGGAAGCCTGGCGTGCTGCAGTCCATGGGGTCGTAAAGAGTCGGACAAAACTGAGTGACTGGACTGAACTGAGCCTGTTTCTGGTTGAGATTTTTATGCTGTCGTCTCTGGGTCCTGTTGGGGTAAGAGGACCTAGCAATTACTGGCCCTTCTCACAAGAAATGCCAGTTGTCAGGACTGTGATTCTAGAAACCTTTTGTTCCACTCACAATTAAACCTAAGATAATGTCAGTGTGACGCTAGTGATGGTCTAAAGCACAGTTCTCAAATTTTTTATCTCAAGACCCTTTTCATTCTTGAGAAGTATTGAGGACCCCAAAGAGCTTTTGTTTATGTGGGTTATAGCTATCAATATCTGCTGTATTAGAAATTGAAACTGAGAAGTTCTATAGACCATTAATTCATGTTTTAAATAATAAATATTTTCAAAAAAATCAGTGAAAGGAGTAGAACTGCTTTGCATTTTTGTAAATCTAATTTCTGGCTTCATAGAAGATATAATTCTCATAGTTGCTTTTATATTTCATCTGTTGCAATATCACATAATTCTGGAAAAATTCCACCATATACTGGTGAGAGAATAAGAGTGAATAAAGCAAATAACAGTATTATTATGAAAATAATTTTGACCTTGCAGACCCCTGAAAGGATCTGGAGGACCCATGGGTCCCAGAGCATACTTTGAGAACTGCTGATCTACAGTGTTCAAAACCATGAAATATTTATTCCAGTTCTTATGCTTCTACCTTCATTATTTTCCCTCTCCTATCTAAGACCTTGTAAAATCCTGAGAGAGGAAGAATCCAGGGTGTGGAGAGGCATCAAACGGAAGGTTGTATGAGTAGATCTTCTTCAAAGTTCTTTCCAGTCTGTGAGTCTGAGGCATGGGCTATTTTTCTTTTAAACAAAATCAAGAGAGCCAAAAGCTCAGCAGGGACTAGATGCACAGGATGCAGGGACTAAAGCACAACCATGAAAACATCACAGAGATTCCTTATGACCCCCTAGCAGAAAGAGAAA